AAATGAAACCGAATAAAGCACAGGGACCAGATGGGTTTCCCGCAGAATTCTATAGGAAATGTTGGCATATTATTGAGAATGATCTTATGCCTATGTTTCATGATTTTTTGAACGGTCATTTAGAACTATTTCATCTTAACTTTGGCATGATTACGCTATTGCCAAAGAAAGAAGAGGCAGTTCGGGTCGAGCAATTCAGGCCAATATGTCTTCTTAACGTGAGCTTCAAAATATTCACGAAAGTGGGCACCAATAGATTGACACAGTTTGCTCATTCGGTGGTGCAACCGAGCCAGACAGCTTTCATGCCTGAGAGATACATTCTTGAAGGGGTTGTCGTCCTGCATGAAATGCTACATGAAATTCATTCGAAGAAGCTAGATGGGGTTATCTTCAAAGTGGATTTTGAGAAGGCATATGATAAAGTTAAATGGCCTTTCCTTCAGCAGGCAATGCACATGAAAGGATTTAGTGAGGCCTGGCGGAACCAAGTGGGTTCTCAAGTCCAGAAGGGTAGTGTCGGAATCAAGGTTAACGATGAAATCGGACACTATTTTCAGACACACAAAGGATTGAGACAAGGGGATTCAATGTCTCCTCTCCTATTTAATATAGTGGCTGATATGTTGACCATTCTTATAGGCAGGGCCAAGCAACACGGTCAAGTGAAAGGACTAGTCCCTCATTTGGTTGATGGGGGAGTCTCCATTTTACAGTACACTGACGAAACTATCCTATTTATGGATCATGACATTGCAAAAGCGCGCAATATGAAACTCATATTATGTATCTTCGAACAATTGTCTGCATTAAAAATAAACTTTCACAAGAGCGAGTTGTTCTGCTTTGGAAAGGCTAAAAAAGAACAAGACACTTATAGACAATTGTTTGGATGTGAATTATGTTCTTTGCCTTTCAGTTATTTGGGCATACCGATTCATCACCGTAAGTTATCTAATAAAGAATGGAAGTGCATCGAAGATCGAATTGAAAAAAGGTTTAGTTGCTAGAAGAGCAAGCTAATGTCGTACTGAGGTCGGCTAGTGCTAATTAGCACAATACTTACTAGTATGCCGATGTTCCTGCTATCTTTCTTCGAGGTACCGAAAGGGGTGCAGAAAAGACTTGATTTTTTTAGATCTCGTTTCTTCTGGCAGTCAGATGAGGCCAAGAAGAAATATTGTCTCGCACGATGAGATATTCTTTGCCGACCCAAGGACTGGGGGGTCTTGGTATTGAGAACTTGGAAATTAAGAATAAATGTCTTATGAGTAAATGGCTCTACAAGTTAGAGATAGAGCCGGAAGGTATGGGCACAGATTCTATGTAATAAGTATTTACAGTCGAAAACGCTCGCCCATGTCATCGTGAGACTAACTGACTCGCCATTCTAGAAGGGACTCATGCGAACGAAAAACTTGTTCTTTCGTAGGGTCAACTTCTTGATTGGCAATGGGATGTCAACAAGATTTTGGGAGGATACGTGGTTAGGAGAGACGCCCCTAGCCATACAATACCCCACCCTTATATAACATCGTGCAACGTAAGGAGGATTAGGTAGGCACAATATTTCAAACGACTCCCTCGAATATTCAATTCAAACGTGCGTTAGTTGATGAGAGATGGACTGCCTGGATGCATTTGGTCTGGAGATTGATAGATGTTCAATTATCCGACCAACCTAGTTCGACACATTGGAAGTTAGCTAGAAATGGGGTGTTTACGGTGAAATCTTTCTATATGGATCTGATTAAATCTGGCCCAATATCGAGATCGTTACATATTTGGAAGGTTAAGGTTCCCTTGCGTATTAAAATCTTTATGTGGTTCATCCACAAGCAAGTGATCCTCACCAAATATAACTTAATTAAGAGGCGGTGGGTAGGTAGTTCGCGTTGTTGTTTTTGTGATCACGATGAAACAATACAACACTTATTCATAGAGTGCCCACTCGCCAAACTGCTTTGGAGAACGATCCTTATAGCCTTTAACATTACTCCTCCAGTTGACATCGAATCGTTGTTTGGAACATGGTTAGATGGGGTTGAACATATTACGGCGGCTTGTATTCAGATTGGAATATGTGCGCTCATGTGGGCTATATGTAATTGCAGGAATGACATGATTTTTAACAGACAACATACTTCAACTTTCTTGCAGGTCGTCTTCAGAGCTTCCGCATGGATCCATACGTGGTCCTTACTCACTCCTATAGACTCCAGGGAGCCTTTGGTTACTGGGTGCAACCAATGGGAGATAGTCACACGGTCTATATTCAACCGGTTCGGATGACGGTAGCATAACAGGATAGGAGTCTAGGGAGCTTGTCCTTTGCATTGTCATACCGATGGGGATTTTGAGCATGTACTTTTATTTTTATTTTTTCGCTCCGCTTGCAAGTTGTAATACTTTTTTGACTTTGTGCTACTTTAAGACTTTTTAATAAGATGGTTGCATGCATCGTCATGATGCAGAGGCCGGGGGCACGCCTCCATTTCCAAATTTTTTTTGACTTTGAGTGAATTGTCCATCTTCTGAGCAATTTTATCTCCACATATAGCTTTTTCGCGTATGTATTACTCAGTTGCTGGTAGTTTTTGACTCAAAATTTTAACTTGGTTCTCCATTTGATGTACTACATGAGATGTGCTATTATTCTTGTTTTTTAACATGATTCTTCTTGGTTGGTGACATTTCGTTTTCAGCCACGACAAATGAACTTCGACATGGATCGATCATCGTACATTTGTACTAGAAATCTTGCTATTGAACTATTTAACATCACAGCTTGCAAACACATCTTACATTATGGGACGAATGGGGTATATAACATTGTGAAGGTTGTGCTCTCCTCCCGTGTCGCTCCCCCCGCGGGCGACCCAGGAGAGCCCCTCTCCGCCGCCGGCCAAAGGCTTCTCCTCCCGCCCCTCCTCCCCTCGCCGCCGGCAGCGGGGCTGCTTTCCCTCCTTGGCTGGCGTGGTGTGTCGCGGGGCTCGCCCTCCTTCCCATGGCGTGGTGCCGCAATCGTCCCTGGCTCCGACCTCCTCCCCGGCAGCTGGGGGCCTCTCCTGGCATGGCCTCGCTCCTGTTGCGCCCTAGCTCACTGCTGAGTGCCCATGGCCGAAGCGGGGCGTGTAGGCTGCGGATCTGGGGTTTCATGCCCAGATCCGGTCGGTGGTGGTTGATGGCGTCTTGGGCGACCGGCGGTGCTGGAGGGTGGTGGTCGTGTGTCGGGTTGCTGCTGGTCAGGCGCTGGAGGGTGATGGTGGTGGCGCGTCGGGCTGCTCCTGGTCGTGGTGCTGGAGGGTGGTCGGGGTGGCGGCACAGTGGCGGTGGCTCCGGTGGTGCGTGCCCGGCGGCTCCGGCGCTTGGAGCTCGTCGGGCGACGCGGATGGGCAGCGGCAGGGCGTGGCTGCTGCTCCGGCCGTGGGCGGCGGCATGTGCAGGTCTCAGTGGCCTACCGGTGTCGTGGCGGTTTGACGGTGGCTCGATGGATCTGTCTGCGGCAACGGCCGGCTTCTCCGGCGTCGGTTTGTCTGCGGTCGGGCCGTCTCGACCTTCACCCCATCTCCTCGTCGCCCGGACGCTACTCCCATCAAAGGGCTGGTCCTCTCCCAGCTGCGGTCCACCGCTCGTCTCGCGCCCGATGCAGCAGGACTGACCTCGTCCCCTCTCGTTGCTGCAGGACCGAGCTTATCTCGCGCTTGGGGCAGCAGGATGGGTCGGTGGATGCCAGTTCTGGCCGACCTATTGGGTCTCGACGCTGGGGGTCGCCCAGGGGCGCGAAAGGTGGGACCTTTCCGCTCGTCTCTTTCGTTGGGGGGCGGCGGGTCACGGGTGAGGTGGTGTTGAGGTCTTGGATGCTGGGGCGGCGGCCCTGGTGGTGGTGGTTGTGCGGTGCTCTTGGACAAAGCCCGTGCCTTGGTGCTGCCCGGTCATCATGGTCATGTGGGTGGCGTGGTTGCCGGGGTGTGGCGTTCGGTGGCGGTGATTGTTGGCCGAGGTGAAAACCTGCTCTATCTTCGGACGGACCGGCAGCGGCAAAATCGTTCCCTTCTTGAAGGCGTCGTCGCGGCTCTCATTGCCCGTCATGCGGCTCCGGAGGAAATTCTGATTCTTGAATCGGGCGGTGGCGACGCTCCGGCGTCGTATCCTTCCTGAAGGCGCCGCTTTGGAGCGCATGGTTCGTCATATGTAGCTTCATATCTTCGGTGCGGTAGTGCTAGGAGTGATGTTGCCGCGCTCAGCGCCTATGTAGCCCGTCTTGGGTGTGTGCGTGTGTTAGGATGACGTGGCGTGTGGTTGTACTGGATGCTTGTGGTTTGGTGCTTTATATATAAAGCGGGACGAAAGCCTTTTTTGATATAACATTGTGAACATGGCATGCATTAGTGTATTAGGTAGTTTGCATATGTAACTGAGAAATCTTTGCAACAATTTCCGGCGCGACAAAGCGTGGATATCCGCATAGTGAAAGTAGAGTGTCAACTATGCCGTCCTCTTTTTAGGATCAAAGTACCAAGCCCCAAGCCCTACCCCACGGAAACCAAACGAGAACAGAGTTCAACATCCAAAAGGTGGTCTCATGCTCCCACAGGAGTGGTTGTTGTCGCTCATTTTGCTGTACTTCTCAGATAAACACCGCATCATATCTAAATTGCACTACCCAGTTGTTGATCCACTCCCGCCAAATTTGATATTGCAGTAGCACACCGACCTTTCATTCCTTACTAGTAGATCCAGTAAAATACATACAATTATTTTGCGGGAAAATTACATACAAATTGCACGGACAGAACATGCATGTTGTACACTGTTGGCAATTTCTACACACCACGCACACAGATATACGTAAATAATAAGCACAAGAGCAAAAGTTGGTCAGTCAGGAGATGCACTTATATGGCCCACGCGTTGCGTGCCACTACGTGACGATGTATGCTTTGTAGTACGTGTACGCTGCCTGTACATAGGTGGGTAGGTACTCGATCGCGCGCAGCTTAGATCTCGGCGGTGAGGCCTTCCACCTCGAGCTGGAACTTCTCCATGGCGTCCTTGGGCAGGCTGATGGGCACCACGGTGCCCTCCTCCCCCTTGCCGTTCTTGGACCGGGAGAAGTAGTTGGTCACGCCGGGGATCGGCCCCTCGCCGCCCTTGGCCGGCCCGCCGTACACCGACTCGCCCCACCCGAAGTCCACGCTCTTGAACCCGGCGTGGCTCACGTCCGACACGATGTACGTCCGGGACAGCGCGAACAGCGGCCGGCCCCGGAGCACCATCAGGTCCGCCACCGACAGCAGGTAGTCGTACGTCACGGCCGACTTGGCCTTCTTCACCAGCTCCAGCGCGTAGCCCAGCCCGCCCGCGCAGAGCTCCCCGGCCGTGGTCGCCGCCACGGAGTAGGCGAACGCGTTCCCGTAGAAGCCCTCCGGGAGCGGCACGCCGCGGCGGCCGCGCGCGTTCACGATGAAGGACAGCCGCACCTCCTCGTCGGCGCCGTACCCGAGCGCCGCCGTGCGGCCCAGCCAGATGCACGCCGCCACCAGCTCGAACCGGGAGCTCCGGCTCATGTGCGGCGGCGCGCGCTGTCGCAGCCCCGCGATCTCGCGGGGCCCGAAGAAGAAGGGCACGCGCGCGATGTCGCCCGGGGGAGTCGTCAGCATCCGGTCGACCGCCCCGCCCGCCGGCTCGCTGTACTCCAGGTGCGGGTACGACGGCTGCGGCGGCTGCCTCGCCATGAACATCTCCCTGCCCCACGCCGGCGTGATCGACGGCGACGCGGCGCCGCACGCCAGCTCGCAGACGGCCTTCTCGAACTGCATCCCGCCCGGCGCGTCCACCACGCAGTGGCAGAAACGCTGCCCGAAGATGAAGCCCCCACACTTGAGCCTCGTCACCTGCACGACGTCGAAACAACATCGTTAAAAACTACACAGAAACAACTCGTGAATCGATCTGACGTGACAGCGACACGTGCACGTTAGGTACCTGGATGTAGAGCAAGGGGCGGTCGATGACGGGCTCGACGCCGGCGACGGTGGTGCTCTCGAGGATGAACTGCTCGAAGCAAGGGAACGGGGGGCTCTGCACGTCCCCGAAGTCAGCCGCGGTGAGGTCGACGTCGGCCTCGACGAACATGACGCCCTGCGCCTCGCAGTCGACGACGAGCTTCCTCCCGGCCTCCTCCCGCAGGCGGCCGGCGAGAGGGTAGTAGGGCACGAGCGCCCTGGCCAGCGCCTCCCTGATGACGGCGGCCGGGTCCTCCCCCTGCTTGTCGGGGGTTGGCGCGGTACAGGTGGATCCCCGAGCTGTAGAACCGCATGCCCTCGCCGTCGTCGATGTCCGACAGCGTCTTGGTCTCCCGCGGCGTCTCCTCCGCCGGGGCCACCAGCACCGGCTCGCCCCGCCTCACCGTGAACGCCGGGAGGAGCGACAACGCCATCGGCAGCGGTGAGATTTGTTCGAAGTGAGCTAGGTAGAAAACTCTGTACGTGCAAAAGAGCTAGCTGTGGGAATGTACGTTGCGAGAGGACGTGTAGTGGAGTGAGTGTGCTCGCTAACCATGGCCGCGTTTATATAGGACATGTCTGGAAGGGTGTTGGGGTTGGTGCCAGTGCCATTTGGTCGTCGGAGTTCCAATGTGTGGCCGGCGGTAGGCGCACTGAGAAGAGATCAGTGGCATTTAGTACTCCCTCTGTCTAGGTGAGTAAGTCATTTTAGGTTGTGCACCGTGACCAAAGAGGAAGGAAAAACGAGAGTACTTAATGTTCATTTGCTAATTAATAGCATTGCATGCAATGAACTAACCACTGCATGTCGTGTTTGATAGTCTCAAGTCATTAAAACCATGCACACCCCATATCTTTTATTGGTTGATACGTCAAGAAACAAGAAACAAGGTAAATTTAATGCACCGCGCCTAAATGTTTTGGAAATATTTGATTTTCATAAGATGACTTACACACCTAGACGGAGGGAGTAGCTAGCTATACCTAGGCTAAGCACACACGAAACACACACACGCGCTCACACAAAAACAATTCATAGTTAAGGGCCCTGAGACTAATTATGGGGTTTAGGCTCCAAGCAATTGTGGTACTCCGGTGGATCTCGTAGTCGTAGTGGTCAAAGTCGCACGGGAAACCATAAACAAATCCTTCCCTAAAAGGACGTGTGAACTGTGAGGGCTGACGAATCGATGCAACCACGGTCCACGGCCGAGATGAGTTTTGCACTTTTGCTACACCTACCGATAAATCTCACACTGTTCGTTGTTAATATATGACGTTTTGCCAGTCAAATTCCCTCTGTTCTTTTCGGATTTTTTTAACTGAAGAGTTTGAATTTTGAAGTTTCAAATTCGGCTCCATTCGACATTTACGGGGTGGAAGAGGTCCGTAAACCACACGTGTAGGTTATTTACTCAGTATTTCTGTAGGTGTAGTATCGTGTCGACAATCAAGCGAGTGACCAGCTGCAATTTTGTTGTTTGTGTAGTTTACTCCACCACAAGGAAATGAAGCCGTCACCACAGATCTTGGCGGTTCCTCGCCTCCAGCCATGATCTTCCACCACGTCCTCCTGCCGTGATCTTGGTGCAGCAAAACGGGGAGGCCTCAGGGCACCTCCAACACTAACCCTTAAACCGGACATCGCATCCATTCATGGATGGGGGAACCAGTCCAGGAACAATGATGCAGGAGTCAAACATCCAATCATAGCAGCATACATTTCAAACCGGATTTCAATAAACTAGATGAATTACACTACATGCAAACCAGGCAATTTTCATATAAACCAGACAAAAATATTTACATTTCGAACATATTTTAACTAAAGTATAGCGGACCAGGCTAGCCTATTCTAACCTAATCTATCACCAGTCCTGGCGGAGCCCCATTGCCATGACATGTCTTTCTCATGTCCGTCAGCAAGCTCACATGACTACCGTGAACCCGAAGGGATATGCTTCAGCGGAAGGGGAAGAGTAGCCTTCGCTTCCATGAAGCATGGATCAATGTTGTTTTTACGGCGGGGGAAGACAGTCATTGTGACCTACGCCCCCGCGAAACGGGCAAGTCAACGCCTGTGTAACCCAGCGAGGCAGTGGCGGTGGCCTTCATGGGAACCAAATAGCGGCGACGTCCCGTGGTCTATTGTTCCTCGCTATCGGCGGTGGGGGGTCGGCGGTTCGAGGTTCCCCGTTGGAGATGTCCTTGGGTCCTTTAAGGTATATCCACTTGCAAATTTTAACATGGTCTTTCTTTTCTTCTATTTTGGCGTGAGAGGTAATAGCATATAATAAACCACACAAGCGCACATGGTCCGGCGTTGGAGATGTTTTTTCGCTTACGGCTTCCTTTTTCGGATAGGCACCTCAAAGGATTTATATATTTTTAAGGTAGTCAAGTTTCATGTAGATGTGTGCGGGCGTGGCTATGTATCGCTTGCTTTTAGAGCATCTCCAGCCGTTCGCCCCACCAGGGCGGCGAAAAAAGGCCGTCTGGGGCGAACCGGCGCAAGTTTGACGTTTGGGGCGGCTCGGTCTCCAGTCATCGCCCGCAAGGTCATTCTGAGTTCGGCGAAATTACGTAGATCTGGTATGAACTCGGCGAAATTTTATTGATTTTTTTTAAAAAAAGTAAAAACATACAAACTACGTCAAACTAAAGCCAAACTACGCCGCTAGCCACTACCCCGCGTCCACCGTCCGCCATCTACATGCCGAGAAGCCTGTAGAAGCGGGTGTAGTCGCCGTCGTCGTCGTCGTCGTCGTCGTCGCGTGCCCCATCGGAGCCACCGTCTCTGCTGCAACCCTGCCCAGGATCGCCGACGCGCGGCCGGGAGCTGGACGTCCCGGCCTCTTCCTCCTCGTCGCTGTCGAGGACGATGACACCGCCCTCCTCGCGGCCGCGTCACCGGGCCTAGAGTTCGCGTACGCCTGGCGCGCGCGAAGCACCTGCTCGCGGACATAGTCCTGCTTCGCCCACTTCAGGGTGGACTCATCGTCGGGAGCCACCATGTTGGCATGCTTCGGCTTCACAGGGAGTAGGCCCGGCTCGGGCTTAGGCCAGACCAGGCGAAGGGAGCGCGGGGAGGGGCGGGCACCCTCGTTGATGACGAGGGCGCCACTGCACGTGCGGCGCCGCTGCGGCGTCTCCTACGGCTCTGGCTTGACGGGGCGGAGAGCCGGCGAGCCAGAGCCCGACGACGAGGACGTCGACTCCATTCGCCGCGGCGTCCAGGAACTGTCGCGGCGGCGAGAGAAGGATGGCCGCGTCGGGTACTCCAGCCGCGGCACGTTGCCGGTCTCGATGTGGTCGAGGACGGCCTCGAGGGTGCGGCCGGGGACGCCCCACCACTCGCGCCGTCCTTCGGCGTTGAGGCGGCCGCGGGGAATGACGGCGTTGACAGAGGCGATCTGCTCCTCGCGGCAGCGCTGGAAGTACATCGTCCACAGCGTTTCACTGTCGGGCGTGTACCTTAGCTGGTTCCGCTGCTCCTCTGTCAGGGAGGAGCGGATGCGGGCGATCTCCGCCCGCCGTGCCGCCCCTTCAGGCACCGGTGGCACCGGAACGCCGCCCGCGCTCAGCCTCCACACTCTCGACACGCGGATGTCAGGGGGTGGCCGGGTACTCGGCCTCGTAGAGGAGGCGCGCCTCCGGCACTTGGAGGTGTCGGCGGCCGAAGCCGTTCGCCGCTGCGCCATCGTCTGGAAACCTCTCGGCCATCTTTGCTTCGCTCGTCGGTGGGAAGGGGGATGGCTTTTGCGAGAGGGGGAGGATGTGGCGTTCGCCGGTGGGAGTGGGCGCCTTTTATAGCCCAAGCGGGGCGGCCGGGAGGCGACATGCCGGGCGACGCGTGGCGGGAGCGGGCGGGATGCGCATCAGCGGTGCCTTCACTGCGCCGTCCATGAGGCATCAATGGAGGCTGACCGGCGCGGCAACGCGTCAGCCTTGGCCAGGCTTGGCATTGATTTCCGCGGGAACCGAGGTGATGAGGGCGACGAAGCGGCGTCTCGCTGACTTGGCGGGCCCGCGCCCGTTTGCGTAAAAAATAATCGCCCTGGCGCCCCCGGACGCCCTCCAGCACGCCGGGTTCGGCCTGGGTCCACCGGCACTAACTTCAGCCCAAGCCGGCGAAAAACAGACTCTTGGGAGCGTGACCGGTCCATTTTTTCGGCGCCTGCGTAAAAAAATCGTCTTGGGACGCCGTGTTGGGGGCGCGGGTGGAGATGCTCTTACTAGGTAGGGTTTCTATATCTCGATTGCTCTCACGCGGTAGCTGACGTCGCCTCAAGTGCCTCATAAATGGGCCTGTCCATCAATCGCTCAAACGATAGCTCTGCTTAGCACTTTCTCACTAGCTGTTACATCGGTACTTTTCCTTTAGCTTTTTTTTAAAAAAATTTATTATATTTCAAAAACTTATAAAAATATATATTAAAAATGACTTAAAATTTTAAAAATTTCATCGCACATCAAAAACTATTGTAGTGCAAATATTTTTTTGTGCAACTTCAAAAAAATGTTCGTACTATTCAAAAATTGTGAGTACCATTCTTGTTTTTCTTAATATGGTTATCCTTGGTTGGGGGCGCTTTAGAATATGTGTGACATTTTCTCTCTACATGGTTCATTTCATTTTCAGCCATGACAAATGAACTTCGACATGGATCGATCATTGTACTAGAACACCTGCTATTGAACCATTTTTAACATGATGCCCATCGGCAAACAAAAACTATTTAACATTGTGAACTTGACATGCATTAGTGTATTAGATAGATAGTTCACATATGTAACTGAGATATCTTTGCAACAATTTCTGGCGCGACAAAGCGGGCATATCCACATAGTGAAAGTATGGTGTCAATGATGTCGTCTTTGTCGGTGTCAAAATTGGCAGATCTCGGGTAGGGGGGCCCAAGTTGTGAGTCTAAGGATCAATAGTAAGAAGGGACAATGGGGACACGGTGTTTACCCAGGTTCGGACCCTCTCAATAGAGGTAAAACCCTATGTCCCGCTTGATTGTATTCGATGAGTATAGGAGTTACAAGAGTTGATCTACCTCGAGATCGTAACGGCCAAACCCTAGCGTCTAGCCTATGATTATTCCGATGCCTTCTGCAGACTAA